TATTATAAGAGATTTTTATGATATTGCTGAAATTCTTTTAAATAGGGAGATTTGTTTCTTGGGTTTCTTTTGTGAAGATGTAGATACAAAATTTATGACAATTTTTCTTTATTTTGGTTTTAAGCTTGATGTAGTTCATGATGAGTTAATGAAGAAATTATAACTCTTCATAAATTTAGCATACATGTATAGCCTTTTATCTTCTTTTTGATCCCCACCCCACCTTTGGTCAGAATAAAAGTATATGCCCAAAGCAGTTATCATAGACTTTCAAACACTAAACATAAAAAAAGTCATTTAGTTATGCACTTAATTATTTAGTGGCTATTTTATTCTTCTGGCATTGTTCTTTCTCTGTTTTGAACTATAAAAGGATCATAATATAATCATAATTTAGAATTGTGTTAACAGTGGAAACAGCAAAGAGCTTTATAATGTAAAAACCCAAAGTGCTATATTACCAGTAAAACCCTAAACCCCTGCTGCCATCTAGTTGATGGCAGTGAGTTTGGTCTGGTCTGGTCTGGAAGTACGTATACCACTTCCTTGGGAAAAGTTTGTTTTAAGAAGCTCTAGTGGTAAATGGTTACACTTTGGGCTGCTAACGAAAGGTCAGCTGTTCAAAACCAGTAGCACCCCTCAGCAAAAAAGGGCGCTTCTACTCCTGTAAAGAGTTACAGTCTCAGAAAACCACATACACACTTACAGTTCCACCCTGCCCCATAGGGTCACTCTGAGTTGGCATTGACTCGAGGGCAGTGAGTGAGTTGGTGGAGTAGATACCTGTAGAAGTGACACTGTAGGACAGGGTAGAACTGCTCCATAGTTACCCAAGCTGTGCAGGTACCTCCTCTGTCCTGGTTTTCAGCCACTGACCTTGCAGTTAGCAGAACAGTGCCCACCCGCGCTCCCTCATTTGCAGCATGTTGTTGTTGTTAGGGTGCTGTCAAGTTGACTCCGACCAAGTGCATCAGAGCAGAACGCTGCCCTGTGTGTGCTGTCCTCCTGCTTGTTCTGTTGGAGCCCACTGGGAGGGCTCATCTTGTGGATGGGCGTCCTCCTCTTTGCTGATGCTCTGCCTTTATGAAACATGAGGGCCTTTTCCAGGGAGTAGTCTGTCCTAAACGCATGTGCAAAGATGTGGCTTTGCAAATATTATATTTGTTTTACAGATAAGAACACTGAGTTTTGTGGTTCAGCTCTGTTATGAATTTATATATATATATAAAATTTGTCTTAGGGTTCTCCAAAGGAGCAGAACCAGTGAAGTACATAATAGAGATTTACTTCAAGAAATTGGCTAACGTGATTGGGGATGTTGGGAGGGAGGGAACCTGACAGCCCCAAAGTCCCTGTCAGACCATAGGTGGGAGACTCTTGCAGGTGCATCCCCAACGCAGGGCATCAAGGAAATGGAAGTGTGTGTAAGAGTTTTTCCACAGACTGTTTGTCATTTGATGGAGAGAGCACACTCTAAGGAGCCTCGCTTGTTGATTCTCAGAAGTCCTCAACATGTTGATCACACCAAGTTATATTACATGAGACAGAGCTGGTTGCATTTCGCTTGATGACGCTTGTGCTTGGGTTTGGACTCATAGCCACCCTGTGCCGCACGGAACCAAACATTCCCCACCCCTGTGCTGTCCTGACACATGTTATCTTTATCACATTGCTGCAGCCACAATTCCGGTCGGTCTCGTTTCAGGTCTTCTTTTTCATTGACCCTTTCCTTTACTAAGGGTGATATCCTGTTCTAAGGACAGGCCTCTCCCAATACCATGTTCAAAGCACATGAGATGTACCCTCACCATTCTCAGTTCCAAGGAGCATTCGAGCTATACTTTCTCCGAGACAGATTTGTTTGTTCTTTTGGCAATGTGTGTTATTTTCCATATTCTTCATCATCACTGTAATGCAAATGCATTGGTTTTTCTCAACTTTTCTGTGCGTGTGACCTGATTGAAAGTACCTTGGCTTGGGTCTGGCTACCATCATCCTCAAAGACACAGCTTTGTTCTTTAACGTTTCAGAGAGATCTTGTGCCGATTTGCCCAGGGCGATCCATCAGTTCATTTCATTTCTTGACTGCTGCTTCCATGAGCAATAGTTGTGGATCCAGATTAAGTTAAATCATTGGCAACTTCAATCTATTCTCCCTTTATCCTGATGTTGTCTCTGATGCCAGTTGTATGGCTTTTTGTTTTCTTTACCTGGAGTTGTACAGGATTCTGGAGGCTGGAGTCATTGATCTTCACCAGTGAGTGGTTCAAGTCCTCTTGGTCTCAGCCAGCAAGGCTGTGCCATCTGCTCCTCCAGTCCTGATGCCACGTTCTTTGTCATAATCCAGCTTCTCCGAAGATTTACTCAGCATACAGAGTAAATATAGTGAAAGAACACAGCACTAAAGTAAACCTTTCCTGATCTTAAACCATGCATCATTCCCTTTTTCCTGTCTGAACAGCTGTCTCTGGGTTTTTGTAGAGGTTCTGCGTGAACACCATTAAGGGTTCTGGAATTCCCATTTTCAACAGGTTATATTGTGATATGCATACTCAATAAGACACTAGTAAACATTTTCCTGGTATTCTCTGTTTTCATCCATGTTATATCTGCCATCAGCAATGATATTCCTCTTCTGTCTTGAATTCCTGTCAGACTCCCGTCAATCTACTGCTGGACCTATGTTTTTAATGATCTTCAGCAAAATTTCGCTTGCATGTGATGGTAATGATATGATGTGCTAATTTCCCCCTTCTGTTGGATCTTTTTTCTCTAGAATGGGACATACACCAGTATCCTCCAGTTGGCTAGGAAGCTGTCTTCCGTGTTTCTTTGCATACCTGAGTGAACGCTTCTAGTGCTGTGTCAGTTTGTTGGGACATTTCCATTGGTATCCCATCAATTTCTGCAGTTGTGTTTTTTGCTAGTGTCTAAACACATTTTGGGCTTTTTCTTTCAATACCATCAGTTCCTAATCATACGCTGTATCTTGAAATGATTGAATGTTGACCTTTTTTTTTTTTTGGTACAGGCTGTGTATTCATTCCATCTTCTGCTACTTCTGCATCATTTAATATTTTGCCCATAGAGTCCTTCAGTATTATGAATCAAGGCTTGACTTTTTCTTCATTTCACCCAGCTAGAGGTATCCTGAATAGGTTCCTCTCTTTTCAATGTCTGATCCCAGTTTTTTGCTCATGTTATCATAATACTTTATTCTGCCTTCTTGAACTGTCTTGAAAATTTCAACTCAACTCTTAAGTCATCATTTCTTTCACTAGTATTAGGTAGTCCATATTCAAGAGCAAGTTTTAATGTTTAAAGTTCTAACATCTGCTATGGTCTTTTCTTTCTTTTCAATGAATTTTTTCTTTCTCTTTTTTAAGATTTTATTGGGGGCTCTTACAGCTCTTATAACCATCCATACATCAATTGTATCAAGCATATTTGTACATATGTTGCCATCA